TACACTTAGTGACAATCTAGCCTTTTTACAACACTTAGGTCTAGATCGAAGGTTTTTCACAATGAGTATGACACCACTCAAAGTTACTCAGTCCTTAGACTTTTCTCTAATGATCCAGTGGGGATCAAAAGGTACTCTATCTAACTGACTACACTTTAGGATCCGAACAACTGTTCTCCTAAGTGTTTACAACCACTTGTGAAATATTACAAGAAAGTTCTGATCTCCAACTATGAACTAAGCTCTAAAAATATGAAAGTGTTGATCTAATCTAAGATCTTAGTGAAGCATGAGGCTAAGCAGAGAGTAAAGTTGAGTTTTGCACTTTCTCTTTTGCTAGATAGCTTGAATATGCTTTTGATGAAGGTATTTCTCTACTTAGGATGCTCAAGCTTATTTAGAACTCATGCTTCTACCTATATTTATAGGCCTTCATGGTTGATTAATCTCATCCGTTGGTTGAGATGGATTAATCTTGTGCGTTGAGGGTCTGGCTAGGACGAATTGTACATTTGTCTTCTTGTGCAGGAGCTTTTAATCCTTTTGTTTTCTGTCTTGAATGATTGGGCTGCGGTATGGGTGTGTCTTCAGCCGCTGCAGCTTCACTCCAAGAAATCCTCCCATGCTGTAGGACCGTGTATTTAATGCTGGTCAACTTTTGTCTTCCAATCAATATTCAATGTATTCGAGCATCTCAAATGTGACCTATATTTAATCTTTGAGTAAAATGATATATGCCGGTAGGATTTAAATATCCTATGAAGGTAAAAAGTTACCTTATTGCATTTTTATGTATCCGGTAATATATCATTAATCTTAAAGATTGTACATTTATTTTTGTCACTTATGATTTAAATTTGAATGTTACTTTTGAAAATAAGACTCAATGTACATTTGTTTAGTATAGTGGCATCATCAAAATCTATCAAAATTGGAGACTAACAGATAGGCATTCCACCTCTTCGGGATCAGGCCGTCCGGCACAGATACAAAGAAGAACTGATCTTTCCAGCTCTTGATAGAAGTGTGGTTCCCCTGGAACAAGGCTCTGCCTGTCCGAGCACTCACCGCCACATAACCATGGGTTTGCTGGGGGGCAACCTTGAAGAAATAATGGAAAAAATCCAGATTGGGTGTCACGTCCGTGTCGACGCATCAGCAAATAAACCCTCCTGTCACTCGATAAAAGTTGGGCATTATTTGACTGGGAACCGTAGTCTGGCCAAGACAGAATCATAGTGCACCACCACCATCCTCGGACGGTGGCATAATGGGTGGAGCCCGGCGTGGAGGCGGAAATCAACCCGGATCCGGAATGAGATTCGAGATACGGGCTCTAATCTTTGGAGAAAGTTTTTGCCTCCTTTTCCTAATGGCTATCAGTTTTAGTTTATGACGGGGCACATCGCCCGAACACCCGGCCTTAGCAATGACCATATCATCACCGGACTTAGCGTCATCATAAAAATTGCCGTCAGAATGAACGATACCAGCCAAAATCTTACCAGCAGCACTAGCGCCCGCTGTGTCCTCAACAGCAGTGCTGGTTGCGTCCCCCCGAACCGTCTCCGCAATGGGCAAGTCCGATTCGGAAGGGCCAGTGGAACTAGAGGACTAACTCGCATACATAATACCGAACACGAATTAAAAAAGAAAGGTGAAAGGAGAGAACGAAGGCCCGGAAATACCTGAGCGGACTTGAACTAAGGTTTTTTTAGAGAGAAACAAAGCTAAAGTGAGAAGCAAAGTTCGGAAACCCGGAACTAATGACCCAAGGCCTATATTTATAGGCCAAAGCGCCGTTTCCCTGACCAACTAGAAATAAGCACATGGTAGGGAGCATTTCTGAAAACACCTGTCAAACGGAGAAGGAACATCAGGTAATCATGAGTTTAACCTAGGAAGCCAACCAACGGCCGCAAAAACCGTCAAATCCTTGCATTGGAAATATGTGAAGTTCATCCCGAACAAAATAGTCTGAACGGCACAAAAGCAAATTCTCTACTTCCTTGTGTCCCACGCACACTCAGAACATCAGAAGTGGGAGATTTGTGTTGGGATATTATGGTCCGGCCCAAAATATCCCTAAGAAGCCCATGTGTAACGGAGCCCAACGGATGTAAATCAGGAACAGGGAACCGTCGTACGATCAATTCCTGATCAATTCCTGTTCGGCCATTCCCGAATGACCTGAACATAACACTTGGCAATGAAGAACATCATCCATGAATGGTCAGCCCAAGTAGTTGGCGGGAAACCATGCAAGTTGGCGGGAAGTGCATTTAATGTTAGAGGTATGGGAGATCAAGTGGCAAGAAGATCCTCCACTCAGAATCGGCCACGTCACCCACCTCACCTACTCACTCATACTATAAATACCGGCATTTAATTCATTGTAAATAGTTAGCAATTTGATACTCACAAGCAATACATTACTTCCTAGCTCTAGTATTAGCAACTGGCCCGGAACTCCCGTTCGACCATTTTTTGTAATCAGCATTTGTAATCCAATACAGTTGGAGAATTGAACCATCTTGTTTGTTGACCTATCACTCTCACTTCATTTCACCCTTAGCATTCCAGCGATAACCAAAGGAGCGTGTTGGACATTTGGTCTTAAGGGAATTAACCCCAACACGCACGATCTAAGATATCAAATATCATACCCTCTCCTTTGTTCTTGAGCTGATTATTATTCCTCATCAATATACTTCATCAATTTGATTCTCATTAATAACAATGTTCGTACACTATCCGTTTTGATTTATACATTTTTATGGAGGAGGGCGGGGGGAATCAACGACAACAACATTCAATTCTTATTCGTGAAAATTTTTGGGATATACTAACCTAAATAAATCAATGATATGATAGCAAAAAAAGAAAGATAAAAATAAAAAGAAAAATTAAGAAAGAGAATGTAATGTATACGAAAATAATTATTATTTTTTGTGTGGAGAAAATAAAATTAATTAGCATTAATCAAGTCAAAGGACAAAGAGTTCACAATACAACTCGGAGGTGAAGACATATGAAAATAATTATTTGTACACATTATCTTATGAGTTTTTTCCTCGAATAATGCTAATTAAATAAATAATTCCCAAAATACTGTTGGGTTAAAAATAATTCTCAAAATACTACTGGGTTAATCATGGTTAGGAAAAGTCGCCACTTGAAGTGGCGGCTCTTCTCTTGCAATACAAAAGCCGCCACTCCAAGTGGTGGCTCTTCTCTTACAGCACATTTTGTACATATATAAAACATAGCATGTTTCAAGAATTTGTTTAACTGCCTTCCTGATTGAATTTTAACTTTTGAGTTAAAATTTGATATGCATAAACTAGACTTGATGAAGAACATGTCTAAAATATTTCATCAAAAACTTTCTTCGGGAAGGGCCCGAAACAGCCTCTGTCGGACGGTGGTTAGACGCCAAGCCGGCTGGATAGGAGGATGACTCTCTCTCTATGTGTGTGTGTGTGTGTGTGTGTGTGTGTGTGTGTGTGTGTATACTGACATAGTTTAAAAATATGTAAGCAAATTTCCACAAAATACTAGATTGAATAAAGAAATAATTGATCAGCCAATTTACAAAAGGTTTAGGACAGTCAAACACTATTTAAAAACCCTTATGATAAATGAGAATACATCTAATTAAAGTATAAAACTTTTATGAAAATATATTACATATATAATAGAAATTTTTAAAAGCGGTGGACAGTCATACACCGTTTAAAATTTTCTATTGTATATGTAATATTTTCATAAAAGTTTTATACTTTAATTAGATGTATTCTCATTTATCATAAGAGTTTTAAATAGTGTATGACTCTCCTAAATCTTTTGTAATTGCCTGATCAATTATTTCTTCATTCAATCTAGTATTTTGTGGAAATTCGGCTACATATTTTACAACTATGTAAGTGTGTGTGTGTGTGTGTGTGTGTGTAGAGAGAGTCGTCTTCCTGTCCAGCAGGCCTGACGGGGAATCGCCGTCCGACCGAGGCTGTTTCGGGCCCTTTTCGGTGAATTTTTTCGATGAATTGTTTTGGGCATGTTCTTCATGAATTCTAGTTTATGCATACCAAATTTTAGCTCAAAATTCAATCGGGAAGGCAGGTAAACATATTGCGTTTTATATATGTACAAATGTGCTGTAAGAGAAGAGCCGTCACTTGGAGTGACGGATTTTGAACTGCAAGAGAAGAGTCGCCACTTCAAGTGACGACTTTTCTTAACCACGATTATCCGAACAGTATTTTGAAAATTATTTTTTACATAGCAGTATTTTGGGATTTATTTATTTAATTAACAACTAGGAAAAAAACTCTTACTCCCTCTGTTCTTTTTTATTAGTCATTCTTTCCTTTTTGGAACGTTTTTTTATCTGTCCTCCTTTCCATTTAAGGAAAATTTTTACTCTAAATATACCTTTATACCCCAACATTTATTACCATTACCCCTTTCTTTTTCCTACTTTTTCATTTACTCACTACTCATTACACCTTTTACACTACCCATACCACTTTCTTCTTAAAACCCGTGCCAAAGCCTAAGAGGACTAATATTAAAGAACGGGGGGAGTATTTTATAGATGTCGTATGTGAACAAACCTTTTTATGTGAAGTTGGTAGACAAACATATTTTAGAGCCCGTTTGGTAGCACCAAAATCTGCTGTTTGGCTGATTCTGTTGAAATTTATGAAATTCTGACTGAAGTGACTGCATTGGTTGATTCTGCTGATTTAAGAAAAAATTATTTTTTTGAAATATATTTTATTAATAAAATGAAGAAAAAATTATATGTAAAAATAGTTAAAATAGTCATCTACAGTAACTTCACCAAATACAGCCAGAAAAGTAACTCCAACCTTACTTTTTCTGCTTATTACACAATTCAGCGCGCAATCAAAAATTTGGTATTGACGAAAAAAATTGGTGAAAAAGTTGGGTGACAGATAAGCCGAAAAACAGTTTTGCCAAACGGCCTCAGTAACGGGTGTTAAGTTTTTTAGAGCACTAGTGCACTACGTGTCCGTGTAAGGGTAGCGAGTCGTCGTCGCATGACTACGTCATTATTATCATCGTTGAAATCGGTGACCCCCTCTCATCCTCGTCTCCACAAGAATTATCCAATCGATATTCTCTCGCGCAGCAGGTAAATATTTTCCCTCTCGAATTATCCAATTATATTTCGATCTCGAACTTCGTTTTTATTAGACGATAATTGTGATCCATTCCACAATATCTACTTAGATTGTTATTATCCCCCCTTTTAGCTGAAGTCCTGTTGTTGATGCTGTTCCATTATTATGCCGAACTAAAATTTGGTATCCATCTCTGCCAATTGCCAAATTAATGGTGTATGTACACGTTAGTACTACATTATTTATTTGGGTTTCCGTTCAACGGAACCTCAATCACAATTGTCTGGAAATTTTAGTTCTCCCTTCATTCAAGATTGAGTTGATGACTAAATTCTGGGATTCATTTGATGTTACTGATTGCACCAGTTGGGCAGTGGCGGAGCCAAAAAAATGGCTCAGGGGTCGAAAATCAACTATGTACAAAATGAAAATGGTAGATCGTTTTTAGACAATATCCGGGTTGAATGTTTCATTTGTAGTTTAGATAAATAGGCACTCGTAGCAATAAGATAAATTGTCTTTGTTGTGTTTCTGAATCATGTCACGTATGTAATGAGTTAATTATACGTTATTTTTAAAATTTGGGAAAATAATCAATATTACGATTAAATTTTGCTGATTTTTCATTTAGATAGTGCTGATTTTCCAAAACCCATAACTTTTTACTCGTAATGAATTACGGGGCCATAATATATCAAATCGAAGATATTTCAGAGATCTATACTCTCAAACTTTGAGTGGGGTCGGCTGACCACTCTGACCCCCCTTGGCTCCGCCCCTGAGGTTGGGTATGTTTTTGTTGGCGAATACATTTTCTCGCAAAAAAAAGAAAGAACCTGCATGGTTAATGGTGATAGTTTTTCGAGTCGTTTTGAGCTCCTTGTTTGATATGGGTCCCTGCTCTAAAATCTTTGTCTGCATAGGCTTCCTCACACTAGCTGGGCTGGAGGGAGTGAAGAATGACCATCTCTTAGTACTACAATTCTACAAAGAAGCCCAACATAGGTTAAGAAAGTGACCTCTTATATGCTGTTTGGAATTTTGTGTAATATCCAGGAGGGTGATGGTTTGACACTCATAGAATATACTTAGGACTCAGTTTGCCACCTGCCCCAGTGCCGGGAATTTTTTAGAATGTTAATATGGATTAAGATTCCTTTGTGTTTTACAGGACATTTGATTATAGTTCTTGAAGTACTTCAAAAACAATGCTACCAATTTCAAAAGCTGCAAACCTATTGGAAGCCAATCCACATATCATTCCTCGTTCTTCCTCTGCGCCTTGGTGGAAAAACAGTGCTGGCTACACATCCATGATGATGCAGGGAGATGCTTGTGATTCGTCATCTTCTTCGTTGGAGCAATCTGTGGATGACCGATCACAATCTGATGTTGGATTGAATTCCACAGGCAACAATGCTACTGAAAAAACAGAAAATAATGCGCCTTCACATCAAGGTACAAATGCCTTCAGGATGTCACTTGCTCTATATTAAAAGCTAAAGATGCAAAAAGGATAAAGATGCATTAGGGGGGAATTGAACTTCTAAACATATCCCTTTGGGGGCGTTTTGTTTAGGTAATGTCGCAATACTGGCTAATGTGAGAAAGGTAATGTGTGATTGTCTTGTTTGGTTTAAATTTTTAAACTACTAAAGGTTAATTGATATTACTTACATGTAACAATACAAATTGATGTTCAGTTGTGGTTATTTGGGTTTCTTAGATGTTGTAAATTATGTTACTAATATTTTAGATTATCCCATCTGGCCATCTTTATCCTTAACAATTTAATGTCATAATAATATATATTTTGTGAACGAAACAACTTTGTTAATTTTTCCATTCTAAGTTCATATGAACTTCCTGGAGGTTATCCTATTACCTAAAGTAATCTTTCATTCCATGGCAGTATGGCACTTATCCTCCCACCCCTCAAGCTCTAAATAGAAGAAATAAGAGTAGAGAGAGATGTGTATTTAACCAAATTCTTTTGAGTAAGATATTTTGATTTCATGTTGGTTTGGGATAATATATGTTATTACTAATGAAATCATCGTTTTAAGGTTAGAAGGAATATGTGAACAAGCAAATCAGAGTATTCGGCTAGTTGCATCAATCGTGCCAGAAGGAGGAGATGATGAGCACCTTACACAGCCAGTGCAACAACTTGAACTTGAGGGACATTCAGTTGTGAGTACTTTTTAAGAAGCATTTTCCACTTTTGTTGTCATGACAGTTACTTTATTCTCAATTTTAGTCACTCACTTTCAGTTTTCCACTTTTGTTGTCATGACGATTATGTTATTCGCAATTTTAGTCGCTCACTTTCAGTTTTCCACTTTTGGTGCTCGACTATGGTTTTGTTGTCACTTTTGATCCTTTCCAATCACATATTGTGTAAAAATACCAGAAATTGAGTGGATAAGTAGCCTTAAGGAGAAAAAGTGGCTAGGAATACATAGTCAAGCACCGAAAGTGTAAAAGACTGAAATTCAGTGGCTAAAAATCGGAATGACTCAATGACCTAATTATCATCGAACCAAAAGTGTTTTTTTTCTTTTTATGGCATCTGTTGATGGAAAATAATTAACCGCCAAGTATGTTTCCTTGTCCATCTTTGCAATCCTGAGTGTGTTGCCTCGTCCATCTTTTCCAGCCTGATATCTTGTTATGGCTATTTCAGGCTTGTGCTCCAAATCCATACATTAACCCATATTTTGGTCAAATCATAGCTGCTTATGGTCAACCAATGGTATGTGGAGTGTCTTAATGCCTTTGACACTTTATTTTCTGGATTGATTTTTATCACCTATTGAACTGAAGATCATGGGACATGTATTTCATTTAGAATCTCAATGATCATATTGTGTGTGTTTAAGATTCTTTTTTGTGTTTGGGAAATGAAAAAATCAATTCTTCATAATTTCTACAGAAACCTTTTCAGGAAGAATTTCTTTAATTATCTCTTTAGTAGACATGGCTAAGTTGCGCATGTTGAGTTGGATGCGTGGATATATTAAAAAAGACTGCTTGAAGAATGAGATAATAGACAAAAACTGTGAGTAACACCTATTAAAGATAAGATGTAAGAAACTCGATTGCGGTTGTATGGCCATGTGTAGAAGATCAAGTCATGTGCCTGCTAGACAAATTGAAAAGTGGGGAAAGGAGCAGGGAGGAGAGGTAGGGGATGAGCTTAGCAGATGTGTATTAGAGTGGTGAAGAATGATATGACACTATTTGGGTTAGATGAGAGCATGACTTTAGAGCGAGCGAAGTGGATGGAGAGTATACATATGGAGTATGGACTAATGGAAGATTGATTTGTTTGTCTCTCTTTCTCTCTATTTAATATTTATTATTATTATGATTATTCTTGTTGTTGTTGTTGTTGTGGTGGTGGTGGTGGACTGGTGGTGGTTGTGGCGGCGGAGGCAGTGGCAGACCAAACTCATTTCGGATTAAGGCTTGGATGTTGTTGTTGTTGTATTTCTTTAGTAGACATCAGGAAAACCTTTTTGTGGATAGTTTATTAATCCTGTGTTTATATGTCAGGATTGAACCATTATGAATTGCATTCCTTTAGTAGTTTGAAGCATACAAATTTTGTACTTATCCATAGGTACCTCCTGATATACTGGATATGCATCACATGAGGATGCCGTTGCCACTTGAAATGACACAAGAGCCTGTTTATGTGAATGCAAAGCAGTACCATGGAATCCTTCGTAGAAGAGAGTCTCGGGCCAAAGCGGAACTTCAGAAGAAGCTGATCAAAGTTAGAAAGGTTTGTGTTCTAACGCAAAGTTTTCAATTTTTTATCTTACCAAAAATTTTGGGGGAGGAAATTGCTATTTACTTTTGGAACTTTCTTTTTTATATTTCATGCATGATATGACTATATGATTCTTCATTTGGTTCTAAACTTCTAGCTTATTTATTAGCTAGTTTTTTAATACTAAAACACTGGCTTGTTTTATGGCATTAGCTGAATCAGTTGATAATAAGGAAAAGCAGTGCAAGATATACATTTTTTTGTTGAACTGTGATAGGAACCAGCCTATTAGAGTATTAGACTATTATTAGAAATAATAATAATAATAATGTTAGTAATAAGGGTCTGAGTACCCTAGTATAAATAGACGGGTAAGGGAGTTAGAAGGGAGGCTTTTAGACATTTTGGTCTTGGGAACTGGGAAGATTGAGTTATCTCTTTCTTTGGGGGCTTCGGCTCATTTGGGGGCTTTGGCCTGGTTACTGTACTGTTCTTCTTGAATCAATAAAAGTGTTCATCTGTTTCTTCTTGATCTCTCTGTAATTGTCCTGGATTTCTGGAGGTTTCTATCATTGGTATCAGAGCTGTTACTTCCTGGAGACAAAGAATCTGAATCATGGAGGAGGATTTCTACATGACACCGCAAATGGAAAATAGTTTTGATAATATTGATCGAATTATGAGGGAGACACAAGCGAGTATGGTCGCATCGCAAGAAAAGATGAAGACGATGATGGCCGCTATGCAAGAGGCGATGCAAACTAGCGTTGCAGATTTGCAGAACCAACTTCAAAGTCGTTCGCGACATACATCGCACCATTCATACCGATCTTCGCATCGCTCGTCGTATGGCTCTTCTCGTCATACTTCACATCATCAGTCGCGAAGGTCATCCAATCCAGAGGAATCGGAAGGGAATTTTGACTACTCTCATATGCATCGCAAATCTCATCATCGACATACGCGACTCTCGACTGACTCAGATGAATCGGAAGAGCAGAGGCGTCGCAGAAGAACCGAAGAACGATCTAGGAAAACTAGGTCTATTGACAAACAAGGTTCGTCGCCATCGCTCACAAGCTCGCAAACAAAGTCGCGCACTGTTTCTCCTAGTTCTCAGTCGCGAAGTGTTTCTTCTAATTCCCAATCGAGAAAGATTTCATCGACGGCTAATTGTTCGTGTCCAAGAAAAACGCGATTGAGGGGAGAATCCTCATCTTCTCCCATAAATTCTCAACCTGCGCAAGAATTGCTTACTGGTTCACAGATGTCATCGCCACTTTTGTCCAAGGTTTCCAAGACGGCTCAAGTTTCTACGAAGGGAATTTCATTGACAACACCAAATCTTGAGTGGAATCCGGCTGAATCCTCAGTTTCAAATGAACCTGTAATCAAGCGAGGGAATAAGAAAGATGAAATCAAGGAGAAAAGACAGGTTAATCAATGGTCCGATTGTGTTTTCCCTAATCTTGGAGACTATTTGGATTTAATTCCCAGACAAGTTTCTATTGTTGACAAGCTTATTCACCCTTGTTATCTGAAAGTAGAGTCATAATGGCTCCTGAAAAGTCTTATCCAAGGATTCATAGGGATCATTTTTATCTTTTTCTGAAGAATCTGCTTACCTGCTAGGACACCAACTCTGGAAATTTTACTTGGAAAATAATCTTTCTTGTTCCTTAGTCAACTGCTTGCTAAAGCCTTTTGGACCTTCCTTTTCAAATGAGGTAGGTAAAGAATTAAAAGAGGAAGAAGTTGATGGGAACAAAAAGGATTTTGCATCCAATACAGTACTAGTCACAGAAGATAGAAACTATGAGGAGCTGCAGAATAGTAAAGAATTAATTTCTGCTAGGGAAGGCTGGAAGAAGACAGAACCAAATGAAACTGTTACCTATGCTGTCCTGAAATCGAATCCAAATACTTTGGCTTCTGGTTGGAGTTCATGGTCCTATTTTCGTAAAAGAGAGGTTATTTCTTATTACTCAGGTGGTTGGAATAGTATGAATGCAGACCATGATGGTGGATATTGCTATGTGATGGTGGTTAGAGGAATGCCAGGGGTTTGTTTAATTGCTCCTGATGGGGGTGAAGTTGGTGACTACCGGTTTCAGTTGGCTACTGTAGATGCTGAAATTTCAAGGAGTGAAGCAACTGAAACTGAAAGATTTAAGTTATATCCTGTATCAAGAGCTATTAACAAATGGAAGAATGAGCAAGGGATGATGGGTGAAGATCAGTACCAGCAAGATCCAAGACACATGACTAATTTTGATGATTGGAAGGTAGAGGAGCTAATGCTGTTTTTGCGAGAAGCAGTGAGAAGGAACATTCAAGTCATGAAGTTCAGGATCCTGAAATTTAAAAGATATTGGGAAGGGAGAGGAACAAGGATGAGGAAGAGGAGGCAGAAGATTGTGGCTGATTCCTATCACCCACCTTGAGGACAAGGTGGATGTTTAGGGGGGAAGTATTGATAGGAACCAGCCTATTAGAGTATTAGACTATTATTAGAAATAATAATAATAATAATAATGTTAGTAATAAGGGTCTGAGTACCCTAGTATAAATAGACGGGTAAGGGAGTTAGAAGGGAGGCTTTTAGACATTTTGGTCTTGGGAACTGGGAAGATTGAGTTATCTCTTTCTTTGGGGGCTTCGGCTCATTTGGGGGCTTCGGCCTGGTTACTGTACTGTTCTTCTTGAATCAATAAAAGTGTTCATCTGTTTCTTCTTGATCTCTCTGTAATTGTCCTGGATTTCTGGAGGTTTCTATCAAACTGATTTTTAAGAAGGTAAATGGCCCATTTACCCTCATATTTAAACCGTTGCTTCATTTAATCTTTTAAAACACCATATTTCTAAATCATTTTTTGATAATTCAGACATTGAGAATCAAGTAATTTTAGCAATTTAGACTGCATTTAAGCAACTTCAACCGTTTCAACCAGTTTTTATCCCACCATGGCACCAAATGGACTCTTTAGTTTCAATTAAGAACTATGTGCTTTTGTATTTGCTTTAAGATTAGTTGTATTGACATTCTGCAAGATATATATTGCCCTTTGAGTCCCTTGTTTGGCTTATAACTTATTAATCGTATCCGTACGATTTCTACAAAAGACTAAGGGGCTGTTTACTTTCGACTTAATGGACTTAATGAGAATGACGACTTAATCTTTCAGCCATTAAGTCGTGTTTACTTACGACTTAATTGAAAGCATGACTTATTCAATCAGTTATAAATTTGATTTAATCATAAAGCTGGAAAATAGTAGTCCTTCCCATTAAGACGTCTTTTCTCATTGATTGTGAAATAGATATATGTTAATAAATGAAATTTTTTAAATCGATTGTGAAATAGTCTAAATAGATATATGTTAATAAATGAAATTTCTCATTGATATTAGGAAAAATTGATAGTAATAATCCCAACTGTTGGTGGTCCGCTCATAATAATCCCAACTATCGATTATTTCATAATAATCCCAACTTTAGGGATCTTCCGCCAATAATGGTCCCTATAAATAAATTCTTGTAGTTTCTATAGTAGATGAGAAGAGATATAGCAAGTAATCCCTATAAATAATCCTAACTTTTAATTTTTACACTTAATTTCTATTTAAAATTCACTTGTTATAGGAGGTAATATCTGATCATGGACCATTATTGGCGGACGGTCCATATAGTTGGGATTATACAAAAATAATCAATAGTTGGGATTATTGTCAGCGGACCAGCAATAGTTGGGATTATTATTTTCATTTTTTCCTTGATATTATATTGGGTAAATGGGCAGGAGTAATCCCAACTATTAGTGATATGCTTGAAATAATCCAAAGTATCAATTTTCTCAAAATAATCCCAACTATTGAAAAAAAAACAAAATACTCCAGTAACTTATATTAACCTGGAAATGACTTATAATATTTATGAGTCATTGGACCATTTTGAGATAATTTTTCAATAGTTGGGATTATGTTGAGATAACTGATACTTTGGATTATTTCAAGCAAATCACTAATAATTGGGATTAATCTTGTCCATTTTTCTATTATAATCCAAGAATAATGCTAAATTGATTATTTTACCCAATTCAGGCTGTTATCCAGCACACCAAATTAGCAGCCTCATATACAAGTATCACTAAATCTGGACAGACATCTTAACCTAGACAAACATCTTATTCTAAAAAAGCAGTGTATGAGTTACTTTTTGACCAATACAGCAGTGAAATGAAGATAAATGGTGCTTCTACCTTTTTTTTAAGTCTATAAAGTTTCTCCACTTCAAAATGATTGCATGAGATCCAAACAGTAAATAAAATGGCCAACACAAATGATATCCATTCTACTTCATAGTGCACAGAGATATCAAAATGGTGCTTCTACTTTCAACAAATTCAGCAAGTTTTTATCCAACCAAATAAGCTATTAGTTTCAGTGACTAATACACTTCTGTATTGTTTTTCTTTGCCTATAGCTGTTCAATCAATTACCCCCTCCGTTCCATACTTTTTGGGCACAAATATTAATTAAGGGCGTTAAGTTTCAACTTTAGCCTTCTATTTTTTTCCCTCCGACCACGTTTTTTTGGTTTTTTCATTGTTGAAATAGTTCCTTTACACTGTGCTACATAACACTGTTTCAGAGTTAAAATTTTGACTGCATATGTTATGGTTATATGCAGACCCTTTAACATGACTATGCCCTTGTTTGAGGCTTATTAGCCTTAACCGTCAGATTTCTACAAAAGACTTATTTAGTTCGCTACATGATAAAAAAAGCAGTGGAGTTACTTTTTGACCAAAACGAATGAAATAAAGATACATGGTCCTTTTACTTTCAACAGATAAAGCAAGTTTTTATCCAACCAAATAAGCTCTTAGCTTCAGTGAATAATATACTTCTGTATTGTTTTTCGTTATTTTTCATCATTTGCAATGGAGCCAAAGATTCACTATTTTTTGGGTTGGGAATATGATGGAATAAGACAAAATGGTTCACTAAACTGTTTGTGCTTCTTTGTTATGAACCAGCAGTTAGCCCATGCAATTTTCGACGCGATTTTTACCATGGGTCATCCGGAAACAGTCTCTTTGTGCTTTAGTACATGGGTAAGACTGCGTAGATCCGATCCCCCCTTACCCTACCGTAGGTGGGAGCCTTTGCGGCACTTGGGTAATGATGACGATGATGATGTATTGTTTTTCTTTATCTATAGCTGTTCAATCAATTACCCCCTCCATTCCATACGTTTTGGGCACAGAGATTAATAAAGGTGTCAAGTAGCTTTAGCCTTCTATTTTCCTCTCTGACCATGACTTTTTGGTTTTTCCGTTGTTGAAATTGTCCGTTTACACTGCAGTGACTGCAACTCTGTTTCAGAGCTAAAATGCTGACTGTATATATTATGGTTAGATAGTGGCAGAGAGAGGGGGATATGTATTAGGAGGGTAGGTTATAGGGATAGGCTTGTTTTGGATAGATAGGTAGGTGATACAGAGTATCAATAATGTGTACACAAAAAAGTTTCTAAAAATGGAATGAAATCTTCATTTTAAAACACCCCAATATGGTAAAAGGATTATTGATAATGGGGTAAAACGGTAATAATACACTGAAGAAGTTTCCAAAAATGAGACCTTAATTTTAAAATGAAACTTTAATTTTGGAGCCGATCCCAAATTCTTTTGGGATTAAGGCTCGGATGTTGTTGTACTTTAATTTTGGGCTGGACTGCTGGAGTAATATTAAGAATATGTTCTGCCTTTGTTTGAGGACTATTACATAATCTTCATTTTTGGTCTCCAACATTTATTTTTTTGCTTTTGGTGCATGACTGGATTTCCTTGTCACTTTTCTTCAGAACACGAGAAAAATCATTCATTGCAGGACTTGAAGTTGCTTGGAATTGATAACAATGCATTTTGTAGGAAAATTTATCATTGAGGAACAAAATTTAAATACACTGCTAGTCTTTGGGACAAAAAATTTAATGTATTTTTGTTGGTCTTAATTCCTTTGTAAATATGTTATTCAAATGCAGCCATATCTGCATGAATCTAGACATCAACATGCTCTTAGGAGGGCTAGGGGTTCCGGGGGTAGATTCGTAAAGAAGTCTGATTCATCTGATGTGTCAAATCAAAAGGGTTCTGGTGCACCTCTACCCCCCTGCTCCTTTTCTCCATCATCAGGTCAAGAAGCACCCAAGCTTCAGTTCAACACAAATGGTGGCTATGGAAGGACTCTAAGTTGCTCTCGGGAATCAAATTATCACAGTGTGCGTTCCACTGAGTCTTCGGGTGGGAGTCCGGCGCTTTAACATAGCTTTGGAAGTGTAGATGGCGGCAAATCATTCCTGGCTTCTCATAATTTCATCTTTTCTTATGATCAGAGTAATTGGAGTGTGTGTAGGACTAATGGACTATGATGAAAGCTTGTTTGTTTAGTTTAGTAGGTGGGATACATACATATATTATATATAAAAACTCATAATAGAATGATATGATTTAGGATGCATGGGAGTATATAGAGATTGTGTATGTGATGCACTCTTGTGTACTTGAATGGTTATGTGTTTTCGCTTACGGGTTTGTGGAAAAGAATCAAATCCTTTTTTAGTTTAGCCAGATATGATTTTAAGGATGAAATAGAACACTATGATTGTAAATAACATGCTTAAAATTCATACCAATAATCTACTTTTAGCGGTTCTACACTAATAATCCCTACCCAAGATATTGATTCAAATAATTCAAACTTATAAAAAGTTTCACATAAACAAATTAAATGAAACGGATATAACGGTTTGTTTGATATTCCTACGTCACCTCTTTGCTTACCCTATTCTTCTCCTTCGGCATATAGCCCATCCCCGTCACTGACTTGCCTCCATGTAACTTCAATTCTTCCTACCTCTTTCAACATATTTTTCCCATTTTAAACAAACGGTGCATTTTGTACTGTGCATGGTTATCACGGCGTCGCCGACTAGGCGTCCAAGCGTTGGTTGGGGGAAGGTCGTCGGGTTCACTCGCCTCGCCAGAAGAAAACCAGGCAACAAACTGGGTCAGAACTCCCTCAACCCAGATACAAAGTAAAAAAGATTTAGGCCTTAATTTTTTTAGGAAGCTAATTTGATTCGTTTTTTAGGAAGCTAATCTAATAATTTAATTAAGGCTTCAGAATTTTAATTAAAACCAAAGCCCATGCTCTTCTACCTTACGGACTCCCTGCGGACGCCTAATTGCCGAAGTTGTAGCATCGCAGGAAGCTTACGAAGAAGATGAAGTCGCAGAGTCGCCCTCTCTTGGTGCTTCGTGGAAGTAGAGTACACGACTTTGCTATTCCCAGGTTCTCGATCTCTTATTACTTAAGTTTTTTATTATTTCAATTTTAAGTTGTGCATTTATAATTTTGTTGTTTTGACTTTTGACTTTGTTTTTTGTGTTTTAACCTGTGATAATTTAGTGATATTTTTATGTATTTAATATAAGAGTTCTATGATATACTGCACTTTTTGTTTGATTAGTTTTTTATGCTATGATATTTTATTTTCTTAAATATTTTTATTCTGTGAATCTGTGATATAAAACACTGTTTTATGATATTAAAATAACCTTAATTGTTGTATGATTAAATTATTTTGTGATATTAAAATCCTGTGAATATGTGATATACATTTTTAATCTTAATTCCCATTAATAAACCTTGTTTTTAATTATTAATTGTGGATTTCAATTCTAGGTTATATACATTTTAGTTAGTAATATATTATACATAATATATAATTAAATGTATAATTATATATGTAAATATATAATTATATACTATCGTATATAATATATAATATAATATACACATATAGGAGACTACTCGCCTAATTGTCGCCTAGACGGGCACCTTGTCGCTTAAGCGGGCGCCTTGTCGCCTAAGCGATATGGCGGTCAGTTGGCGCCATGACTCGACTTACGGCCGTGACAAGCATGGTACTGTGTACTTTAATTGGTTAAGCTTAGGACTTCACCTACGTAGTATTATTTTTGCTTGTCCAGGAGGGGAGCCTCAAGAAACAGTTCAAGGATCAAGCATTATATATGTGCGTACACACACATAGATGTATACATTGTGGCTTCAATTTTACTTTCGGGAACTGGTGTCATACTTTTTCGTATTGGGACTAAAGAATTTTGCTCCTTTAAATTTAGAGGTTCTTCACCTTTAAAATTAGGGATTCTGGTGTTGTAATTTTCCAATCATACAATTTAATATTCAAAAAAGCTAATTATATCCATATGATAAATCAGTAGGACAGGGAAGGAATAGCTAAAAGTGATAATAACATAAAAAATCAAGTGTTTGGTTGACCTGGAAAGATTGAAAAAAAAAAACAGAGTATGGCTTATGAGGAAGATGGCCAGATAGGCAGGGGCGGAGCCAAGGGGTGGTCAGGGTGGTCAGGCGATCCGGCTGAAAGTTCAAGAATGTGGAGATCTGAAATACCTTCGATTTGATGTATTATGAGTCCCATAACTCATTACGAGTAAAAAGTTATGACTTCTGGAAAAATCAGCACCATCTTAACTTGAATAAACAAAATTTGATGTGTGACATTGATTTTATTTGATTATATTCTTAAATTTAAATATAAAACACCTTATTCAGTCATTAGTTGTGTGAACATTATGATACAATACATATATATCAATACATTAATCGAAAAATGTCCATTAAACTACCATTTGTCTTAGCTACATATGATAAATACTTGACCACCATGCATTGCAAATGTCACCAATTTAATACAATCATTAATACAAAGAAAGTGGAAAAGGAAAAAAATGTGACGTGAAATTGTCTCATACAAAAAATAGTCCAAATTTTAGTGTAACTTGCTGATGGGATTTTTGAATAGTTGGGATTATTAATGTGAATTTTTCCAAAGTTTAATTGATTTTTCGTAAATAAAATACATGATTGTTTATTTTGAATGATTGTAGAACTAGCCGTTGCCGTGTAAAAGATTTTTTTAAGTGTTGAATATATCAATCAACCCCCAACTTTTAATAACTTAACCGATCCTGGAATCCCCAAATCGTCAGATAATCCTCATTGTATTTCTCTTTACCGGAGAAGTCCATTTTCTCTTTCTATCTCTCTGATTATTCACCGGAAGAGACAGCTCCATCAACAACTTGGATCAATGGCTGCGGCGGCGAATACCAACCCCAACAGTCTTCCGGTTGTGCCGTCACCGAAGAGGCCGCCGCAACCAGCTAAGACCATCGATGCTCACTCGGTCCTCAAAAGGTCAGTTATCTCCTTTGATCTTATTGAATCGGATCTAATTAGTTTTTGTTTAGTTTCCGATTCGCAATTGATTCAAATCTCACGATGGGTATATACAAACGATCTCTAGTTTTTTGTAGAAATTCTTTGTGAATGCTTAATTCCATGAATAGCTAGTTTGTCCAAATAAATTTTCTCTACACAAACTATTTGCAGATTTGGATGAAATAATTGGGGTTCATAGGTCTTTTGGACTTGTCATAAAATCATAACCGCTTCTGTACATAGATTTGAGTGAAAATGATTTTTTAATTTAGATCTGAATGGAATACTTTTATTTATCAACAGGTTGCAGTCTGAACTGATGTCTCTAATGGTGAGAATCTCTGGTTTTTCTTGGAGCTTTGATCTATATTCCCTGCGTTTGTGTAGAATCTATATGTATTTCAGTTTAAGTTCGCAATGTTTTTTCCCAAACCATATTAATCAGAACGAGTCCAAAAGTGATTATAATCAAACCAATCAGAAAACACAATAAACTTATAAACCTTGTTTAGAAACCAAAAAATAGAAACCCAAACTAAGAAGGGTCCATGTGGTGATCCTGTTTTTCTGCTTATTGCTCAACTTTTTCCCTAGCACATAATTTTGAATTTTACGCGCGGAATCATATAATAATCAAAACAAAAAAGGTTAAAGTTATTTTTTAGATGAATTGACCGAAATTACTGTGTATGACTATTTTAGTGATTTTTCACTTTAATTTTTTCTTATTTTCTTAATAAAAGATATTTTAGATATAATTTTTTTATAATTCAGTAGATTCAGTCGTTTCAGCCAAAACTTCATAAATTTCGATACATTCAGCCGGTTACGGTGTTACCTTGTCCGTGTGCTTTTGGCTTACTTTGAAAATGACTTGCACTTATCACACTCTTTCAAGATGAGTGGTGACAGTGGAATATCAGCATTCCCGGAAGAAGACAACATATACTGCTGGACAGGGACAATCACAGGTAGCAAAGATACGGTTTTCGAAGGAACGGAATACAAACTCACTTTGGCCTTCCCTAATGAGTATCCATTTAAGCCCCCCACTGTTAAGTTTGTGACTGCATGTTTTCATCCCAATGTCGATGGTCAAGGGAACATATGCTTGGACATTCTTCAGGTTTTTCAACTCTTCTTTTATATCAATTCATAATCATACCTGTAAGATGCAGTAGTATGACAAAATGTAATTTTGTAGGACAAATGGTCTTCTGCATATGATGTTAGGACTGTACTACTTTCAATCCAGAGTTTGCTTGGAGGTAAATCTTTCACACTTCTTGTACCACGAATCCCAAATTTCACAAGGATATAGTCCCCTATTCCATTTTAGTTCGTCTCACAATGATGGTCCAGTTAGTCTATTTGGATATGAATTTACTTTACATTTCCAGATTTATCCTACTTAGATCACAACTGAATACTATTCCTGGCTTCCCTGAACAGGGGAACTATACAAAGGTAAAAATGGGAACTGCTTATGAAATCAATTGTTTGAACTAACTTACATATTTCTTATTTCATTTGCAAAAGACAGTCAACAATCTTTGGTGGGATAAAGGTAGTATACACTTTAAGAAATTATCTGAATCTCAAGTATGAAATCTAGATAGGGCGGTGGTTGGATCATTCTTAAGCTCTTAGCTGTCCTATCAAGAGCGAATACCTGTTATCCACTTTGGGGCTTAATGGCTTATGGTTTGAATAAACTCTTGTTTCCATTTTGTCGTGAATCAGAACCAAACACGAGCTCACCTCTAAACTCTCAAGCGGCAGCGCTATGGGGCAATGGAGAAGGTAAAGCAGATAACCATTTGTGTAATTGTTTACAATCAATAATTATTTAATGCGGAGTAATTAATTGGAAAACATCAGAAAATACTTCTGAATTCTGATCTTTACTGTTTAGTATCTGAACATAGGACATTTGCTTCATCTGCAGAGTATAGAAAGGTGGTGGAGCAGCTATATAAGCCCACTCTGTAGTTTCAAGATCTCAACCCCCCCCCCCCCCCCTGTTTTTCTGAGAAGAGGCGAGATTTTCATGGCATTCTTCATATTAAAGATGACGTGGGAGTAAAGCAGTGGTTGCAGTGCTTAGTAATAGCTTGAATAATGTTGATGATGATGATTAAGGCTCACTTTGATGCTTCTAGCATATACACTCCCATTTATCTACTTCATTTATCACTTGTATATTTCTCCTTGTCAACATATATGCGTATTGGTGATAAGCTATAGATGTTGGCTACGTTCGGTGGCGGATTTCAGCCCCAAATAAGCTGAATTTTCTAAACAAAAATACTTTTACACATATTTGTGAAGGCTTTTTTTGTCCGTACAGACAAAAAATGC